TCAGATCTTTTGATTCGGTTCTATCTTGAAATTCGAATATTAAATCATCTAGTTGACGTGAGCGATCTGCAAGAAACGCTATCAATTCGAAATTTGAAAATCATTTTTTCTGTTAACACAACATTCATTTAAAAATATTCTTTTAATTTAGTTTTTATTAAATCTTCAAATGTTTCTTCACAACTATCATTAAATAATTCTTTAACTTATATTCATACAATAAGTATTCGACAATCGATAATTTATTTTATTTGGTTCATGTTATGCATCAAGTATAAATAGTGCAATACGAGAGTAAAATAAACAAAAAAAATGAATTTGATCTATTCTGTTTTTTTTGTTTTCTATTTTAGTTTTTATTGAACTAAAAAATTAGTCTTAAAAAATATATTAATATACAAATGAAAGTGATTTTCAAGCTGCTGTACTCGATTTACTTGTTCAATTACTTTTAATTCGTGTTAATAATAGTTAATTAGAAGCTGATGAAATTCGTTGCATTTCTAATCGTTTCGTTTATTTTTAAATAGCATTTTATTTATTGTATTGCTGAATTTCTTGTTATGTTATCACATGAAACATTTCATTCAAAACAAGTTATTAAAGTACAAGATTTAATAAAACATTATGATTCATTATTAACAAGTGGACATGAACCTGAAACACATGGTAGGAAGCAAAAAAAAACATTTTCGAGGGTGTGAGTGTGTAGATGTAATTTTTCTCCTCTATTGAGCCCACACCCACACTTCAACGAATCGATGATCTGAAAATAATCATCTTGTTGATGTCCAGAACTCAACAAGATTTAGAGACAGTAATCTTCAGTTATGTATTTGAGTTTGAAGGAAAACTAGGCGTCTTAATTATTATAAATAAAAGTATCTTTTCATGTCATGTGTATGTACTGAAAAAATAATAATAGAATTTATATTGTTATAGGCTTTACGATTGTTAACAGTTATTGTTAATAGTGTTCAAATTGAAGATGATAAATGAAAATGTCTTTCACGATAAATTGTCGATGTACTTCTTGTTCATTTATAATTTCAGGTTATTTTTCTTTTAATAGTCTCTGATTTTACGTTACTTTTTTTTTCAAATAGAATCAATCACTTTTGGATATTTATTCCACACAATTAACACTATTTGATGTTGTCTCATCAGTTGCATTACGATCAATTGATCCATTTGTTATTGCTTTTCGAGCATTAGTAAATAGAAATATTCGTTGTTTTTATTTATAAAATTTTCCTGTAGTTCAAAACTTTTTTTAGAATGTCAATTGTCAATCTACAAATCGATAGTTAATCAATATAAATATAATACTTCGATATCTTGTACAAAATTTAACTGAAGATGCTATATTAACACGATAGAATGATGTTTTATCATCAGTTAATGAAACACGAGATGAAACTTTTAGTGGGTTAGTATTCGAAATGATTTTATTTATAATTTAACAAGTATTATTCTCGTTTTTGTTTTCAGAGCTCTTCTTCGTTTTTTACATGACATAATATTATGAATTTTAACAAATACTCGACAATTATGTGGTCAAATCAATGCGACATTAGTTTCTCTTGCATGCGATTATCTTTACATACTTATGTATATTATGGACTAACTGAACAGATAAAAACTGGTTTCTATCAAAGTCAAAAGAGCTTAAGCTTTCATCATAATCTATATGATAGTAAGATATCACCCATTAATTTGAAGATAAAACTTTCCTGCAATTCATTAATTACTAATGAGCTAGCGAAAAACATTTGACTGTAAAATTCCTATGCTTGTATAAGATCTATAATTTTATTTTGGCTAAACAATTTCGAACAATTGTAAATGATTTATGTCATTGATTAATTCATGATGAAACTGTACATCGTCTTGATATATTTTCATATTTAACTATTTTAAATGAATGTTTTAAATTATAATGATCATCATTTTATATCTCCTTATTATTACAATGGATACATATTCTGAATATACTTGATTATATACAAAAAGCATGGTGATCACCAATATTAACACCATCATCATCAAGAATACATTTATCTAATAAGTGGTCAATTACAATCTTATTGTAATTTAATAGATCATCATGAATTATATGTTGAACATTTTACATCAATAACAACACATTATCAATTATTATTATTATTTTTTATTTGATCTTATACATCATACATCAGTTACAAGTCATTTATTTTTTTTGTGAAGGAATACATTTATATGAAAGTGGTCTTATATTAGTTTTATTACTTGAACAATTCCTTCCATTACCATATATATATATCTGTATTACGTTTAGCTGAATTAATTGTTTATGATTGTATTGAAATGATGTTAACACTTGACCACCAAACATTAAATAAACAATTATGACCTAAATATATACCATGAATTTTATAAATATTATCAATAACAACATCAATTGATATTATTAAAGAAGATTTTAATAATCTTAATTGTCATATGAATATAACAAGAAAAATTTATGAACAAATGTTTAAAAATGTAGCTTATAAAAACTGATTACCATTTATGATGTCACCGGTATGTTTTAGTTTAATTTATCGAAATAAATAAATATATATTTATAATAAAAATTTTAATCCAATTAAAAGAAATTTTTGTTTTTTACTTTGACATTGTTAATGTGCTAGTAATAGATGAGACTTTTGAATAATTCAAAATTTCGAAAAATATTTTGACATAGAAAATATTCAGAATTTCAGGTAATACAAATCGTAAAGGAAAGCATTTAAGCTACATTAGTACAATGACCGAATAATTTCTCTCGAATCTTATTGATCAAATTCTTAGTCGTGCTATTTGTACTATTACAATTAAAGAAAACGACGTCTTTCTAATATATTTCGAAATAAATTGCATTCGAGAATTTCGATAAACTTTCTATAAGTTTGAACTCGTGAACTCCGATAAACGTATTGGATTTTTTCCACAGCATTAAATTTTTAGGATGATTCTTATAGTAAATGAAAATTGATTTGAGAAAATAAGAAACAATATAAATCTGTTCTTTTTTTTTGTTTTCCTAGGATTTTGTATAGTTATATCAAATGAAACAAATTAAAATGACATTGAAACAACACCTAATACAATTTATGAAAAAAGTCTTTTATCATGCTTCTAATAATCAACCATATTCAATTGCATTCATAGATTCTCTATCAATATATTTTGATAAAATACAAAATCATGTTGAATTAACATGTCAATTTTCAACAGGTGATATACGTGATTTATTACGTTTTATAATACTTATATCAGAAATAATTTATATAAATATATTTCAAAAAAAAAAACATCATTTCTTAGTTGTGAAACAGATCAAATAATACCATGTTGTACATTACCGAAAACACTATTATCAATATTTGAATATCTTTATCAACGACATGGTTTAACTATATCAAATATATTATAATCATATTTAAATTTAATTGAACCAGATAAAAGATCATCTTTATTATTTAACAAAAAAAAAATTAAATATATATATATATATATCATATATTTATTGACATGATTTATATTGTATAGTTATATTATTATTTTGTTTACCAATATTTATATAAAGACAATTTTGGAGTTGGTTGATTATTAAGAATACAATTTCAAGAAATATAGGCTTCATTTTTAGCTTCAATTAATTCACCACAAATCAATCTAATGATAAAAATAAACAAACAACAAATAATTGTAAAAAAAAAAGAAGAAACTTTAGAAACTAATGTAACACAATGGTAACAAGATTGAAAAATAAACTAGATTTTATCTGTTCTTTTTTTATCAATATTAGATACAAGTTCAAATAATTTATTTACAAATATTGAACGATTAAGTACATGTGATTTATTATCCTATGGACAACTTTCATATGATACTATATTAACATCAATCCAAAGTAATAATACATTACTATTATCAGTTAATGTAAGTCTCACATATGTTTTAATAATCGACAAATAGAACTCTAAGTTAAAAGAAAGATAAATTCATTGTTAAATTATTAATTTCATCAAAGAGAAAATCTAGTGTTACTCTGACTTTGATTTGATATATAATACATGCAAACTATCTTATTTCATAGAGATAAAAGTTTATATCAATAATTTCAAATATATTCTATCAATCAGAAAATTAGAGTATGGACATTTTCTTTGCTAGCATCTACCTTTAAAAATATATAATGTAGAGTTTATTTGATCGCTTATTTTTTCATCATGGTTTTGATTTAACATTATCATTACAAATTCTAATTGAAATATATGTAATATAAATTAATAGGTTCAATTATATATCTATCTGATTTATTTGTACATGGTTTGATGAAGATGATTTAATAATATCCTTAATAAGTTATAATTTATGTAAATCTAGTATATTACTTGAACAAAGAACAAAAGAATATAATGAATTATATATACATTTAATTGAACGTAATTATAAATTAATAACTAAAACTCATGCATATGCATCATGTTTATTCATGAAGTTGATTTAAATTCATATGATATTTGATTATCATTAATTAAAGATGATAATTTAACACAAAAAGTTATATCAATTAGTCTTGAAAAACTTTTAATAGTTGGTCAATATCCTAAAAATGATATATGGTGTTAATACTTACACGTATTTATACATTATTACAACGACCAAATAAAAATACAAATTCATTAAATAATGAACATGTTAATAAAGAACAAACAATAATTGATAGTTCATCAATAATATCATCATCAGATAATATTCTTATTGAACTTGTTGAAGAATTATATACACGGACAAAACAATGATCAACATTAGCATATGAAGCTTTACTTTTATTACGTCCTTTATCATTATTACTTGCACACATTAGTTTTTTTTTTCCGTGCTTTAATTAATGCACGTTATTCAGCTAAAGTTAATGAATGGACTTTATTATCAATGACAAATATTGCACAAAGAAAAATCACTATGTACGGCTATATGGGGGTTAACTTGTCTTATGTTAAGTGCATGTCTATCACAGGGTGTGGGTGTGGGTGAAGACAAGACCTATAATGATACCCACACCCACACTCTCTTATGAGTAAAATTCTGCCTATGGTTAAATATTCTTCCTAGTTTTCTTTTTAAAAATTATCAAGACTTACACATACAATTAAAATTTATTTGGAAAAAATAAATAGTAAAACATTAATGAAAAACAAAAACTCTTTATTGCAATCCGAAGGAATGACGATCAATACAAAATCAATAAATTTCTCCATGAAATGTCAAAATGAATTTTCATTGATAATATTGTATATCTTTTACTTTTTTAGGTTTCTATTGATGCAATTACGTTTTGGTGCTCGTTTCGAAGAATCAGACAATCGTTTATTTCTTATTGCTGATCGAAAATAGTATCTGCAGGTATATTAAAAGAAAACTTGCAAATATCAATTGTATCAACAAAAAAGCAAAATCTATTTTATTTATTTTAGTTAACGAATATTGAACATTGACGTCCATATGAACAAGCATTCATAAATGAATCGAATCCAGAAAAATTATATGCTGATTTACTTGAACACATTCAAAATACGGTGTGAATGTAGATGTTGTTTGGATATGTTGATGAATCATATACTCTCTCTCTCTGTCGTCCATACCCACACCTTCAATAAAGACTAAAAATATCAATTCATAAAATGGAAACATAGCAACAAGAATTAGTTTATCTACTTTTTTCTTTTTACTAGAATTGGTCTCTAGTAGAGTCCTGCGCGGGTTTGATTTTTCGAACCCGCACCCGACCCGAGGTCTTTTAGTCGTACCCGTGCCCGACCCGACCCGACAAGGCTCAACCCGAGCCCGACCCGACCCGACAAGGTTCAACCCGAGGATAGTTGGACCCGAGCCCGACCCGACCCGAGGATAGTTGAACCCGAGCCCGACCCGACCCGAGAGATTTAAATTTCTTTTTTTTATAAAGATACATCAGTTTATTGCAATATTAAGCATAAAAAATGATAGAAGCTTTATAGCAATAAAAAACACATAGATAATCATGATTGCAAAAAAAACCATCACAACTTAGTATGATCACATTTCCATTTAAATACATACATTTCAAACAGTTAAGATCGATAATGATCATAACAATAAGTATCGTACAAATATCAACAATACATCTTCAATTTATACAAAACAACTGAAAAATTTCGTAAAAAAATAAGAGAGTCAAGTGATTCTGGTGATATTTGTTGACGTCGAACTTCAAGAATCCGACCTGTTTTACTGAATATTCTTTCAGATACAGCAGAACCTGCAGGTACTGCTAAGAGAGAACATGCTAATAATGATAATCTAAGGAGAATCAAATTTAAATTAATTTATTGAATTTTTCTTGTGCATTTAAGGAGAATGATATAGTAATCAAGAAACTCACTTTTTGTATATGATAGAGTGTTTTTGCCACCGTTGTAAAAGTGATTCTCCTTTTGGGTATGATATTTTCGCTTTAATATAATCATCTACTTTATCCATCGGCCTCTTATCATCATCGTCTGATGATGAGTCTACAAATGCATTAAAAGACTTGAGAACATCGTGTACAGTGTCTATTTTAATACGTTTTTGATGTGTTGAGGAATTGTTGTTGGTACCTGTCTCTGTTGTTTCTTCATCGACTTGTTGATCTATACCTAGAGCTTTTAAAAGTATTCGTATATTTTTAATAACAGCATTACGTTCTGATTTCATTAGACTCTGAGAATCATTGATCAATAGAATTGAGTTTTATTATTCTATGAGTTTAAGACGAACGAAAATAGAGGGCAAAAGCATACATACGCAAAAAAATCTGACCCGATAAAAACCCGACATTTTTTAATTTCAAACCCACACCCGACCCGACCCGACGGCTGACAGACCCGTACCCGACCCGACCCGATAAGATTGAACCCGAGCCCGCCCGCACCCGACAAGATTGAACCCGAACCCGCCCGCACCCGCGGGTCGGGCTCGGGTGCGGGTCGGGTCGGGTCGGGTTGCAGTACTCTAGTTCCTGTTACATTCTAAAGATACTAAAAGGCTTGTAAACACATTCTAGAATACTTCAAACATGTTTAGATTTTATTTTAAATTTATTTAACTTTTTTAAAATTTATTTCTGGATTTTTGGTAAATGTTTACAAAATGTAAATTGATCGCTTTGCAAAATATTCCATCGAACATCGTTTGATAATCACATATAACATCACAACTTTACAAAAATGACTATATCTTAGCTAATCATTTTTTTTTCATGTGCCTATCTATATTTATTCCTTTTTTCAAAATTACTAATATCTGTTTATGGAAGAAGTCGTTGTTTCAATGAATAGTATGATGTTGAATCCTGTTCTATTTTCATTATTGAAAATAGGAGAGACGATTAGCTTCAAAACTTTTTTCTCACAATCTACTTTCGTGATTTAAATTTTGTGTTCTAACGTATTTAACTTTGTTTCAAATATTTTTTTTGTTGTTGACACAGTAAACTTTGCATACATGAGACGAAATAAAATAAAGAAATTTTTTCTCATAAAATTTAATCTAAACAGAAAATATATACAATAAGGTGTGAGTTTTCGGTTCATCTACAAAGCCATACATTCTATTGTCTAGGAATTCGTTGTATTCGTCACTTTTTCTTCTGGAGAAGTGTTTCTTTTTTTTTGATTTTGGGACAATTATCAATTTAGTTTGCGTTTTGTTTCAACAAGCAAGTCGTTGTAAATCTTCTAGATTAAGAAAATATTTTTCCACAGTTACAGTTTGTTGTCTGTCTCTTCTGAATAGATCAATCAATCTCATTCACATTTTTCTAGCTAATAATTGTCATTGATATCTACTTTTAAGAATCATCAGGATCATAAACTCAATCATTCGATTTTATTGTAATATAAGATTACCTGATTTTCTCCAACATGACATTTCTTGAACTCTTGCAAAGACATTCTTTCTCAGACATTCGCTATCGACGAAATTCAGAAACTCTGAGATATTATCAGTTAAATCTTCTAATCTTAAATAAATATATTTCTCCTGAATAATTGAAAATTCAGATAAAATTAGAATTGACTTGTATCACAAATATTCACTCTGTTCTTTAATTCACTTTAAGAAAATCTTATATTTTGTGTTTGAATATTTGGAATATAAATTTTTCAAAAGTTATTCAAAAACAAAAGAGAACTTTGCAAGGTCACGATCTTTAAAATGATGATGCTGAAATCTTGCAGAACCCTGGTAGAAGTAGTTAATAGTTATATCATAGATTGTCTTAAAAACTATGCATTGAAAACAAAAACAAAAAAAAAACATGTCTGTTAACTCCTGCTGAAGTATTCGCTAGTCAAAGAAACATTTGAATCATTAGCTTTAATAGTTATTTCCATACAATGTAGTATTTATACGCAAATTTTTTGATTGTTAGTAAATTTATCAATAAAAATCTTGAACAAACTGTTCAAATTCTTCTGAAAAGTCATGATTTTTATAAATTTACTTATGCGCTCATAAAAAAAATGTGTTTTTTCTTAACTGCTGTTTCCTCGTACATTGAGATAAGTCCAGTGAGTGATAAAGTTAATTTCATCAACTGTTGTCTTTTAAAGAAGACTCATGGTTCCACAGACTACGCATGCCTTTTTCTTTTCATATCGAATATAATTGTTGTTGCTCTTTTCAAGGAACTATTGCCTTTAGTCAATTACTTTTTGGTTAAAGAAAAGCATCAAATTTTGATAGCATTTGATATCAATATTTTCGAAGTAAATCATCAGTTGAGAAGAAAGTTAGGAAATTTACAAAACTTTCACTTTGATCTGATTATCTATAGATGACTAAATCAATTTGTTTGATCTGTCTTCTCGATTTCTTTTTTCATAGATCTTTTAAAGTTCTACAAAAGATATCTTTTTCTCTATTGCATTCATATTATCAATTTTGAGTGAATAATTTCATCTTATGTTTTTAAGAAAAATTGTTTTTCATAACATCAGTATGTCTTTCACCTCTGCAAGTGTTTTATAGGAGACTTATCATTTCAATGGAATAATATTCATTTATCTAGCATCTTCTATTGAATTTTAAAAAGAACACTAAGATAATTTTAATTAAAGCTGCAAAAATTGTCGAAAAATATATCCAAGCAAGTAGGATATGAGACAACAAAATTTCAAAACAGGAAACTTTTCAAACATAAGATTGTCAATATGAATATCTTTAGGAATATAAAGAATGTTACAAAATTAAAGTCATAATCATCTAATATGATGAATATTATTCCATTGAAACAATAAATTTTGTATTAAATCTATTCAGATAAAAAAACACATAAAACTGTTATGAAAGAAATTCTTCTCAATGAAATGTAAGATGAAATTAGTCATTGGAGATTAGTACGATAGGAAAATAACATTGGACTAGATTAATGCATTCTACAAAATTATATATTTCAATCGATGAACAGTTTATAAATTCATTGTCTTCTTAGATTAACTTGTCATATATGTTTATCTACATCAAAATGGTAATGAGACAAATGCTTGTAAGGTTTCTTACATCAAACTATCAGCTGTAACTGAGAGTTTCTACATTGAAAAAAC